TCGAAAACAAAACAAAAATACACAAAAGCATGCGCACGCGCACACACACACACACACACACACACACAAAAGAGATACAAATAAAACTTCTGTACTATAAAATCACCAGTAAAATTATGTAAGCTACAGGGCAAATAACAGCAGCAGATCAGAACTATCCACTGTTGGGAGGGGGTAGATTGTAGTTCCACACAGACAGCTGGGGGGGCACCATGGAAAATGTCCTGTCCCATATCACCCTCCTAGCATCCCATTGGGATGAGGCCACAAGAATGGTCTATCCGCCTGACTTCAAAGGATGTGGTGGACAGTATATGGAAAGCCACTATAAAAGTCAAGAGCTTTTAAACTTGAACTCTTATCTTCTGTTATATAAATACCATTGGTTGTTGTTGTTTTTTAAAAGATGTTCAAAGATACACTTTTTACTTTTTAATACTTATTTTCAGTTTACATTTTAATATTTATTTTCAGTTTACTTTTTAATATTTATTTTCACTTGTGTTTTTAGAAAACTTTGATGTATACTGCTCTGCTGATAATTGAAATATCCTGTTAGACGCCTGCTAACAAACATTGCTCTAGCGCCATCTCTGATTATAATTTATAGACTCCAATATAAGCCATTTCAGCAGATTTTCCCCCACTGTGAAATATAGCTAGCACAGGAAAATTCTTTGTCTCCCACAGGCAAAAAAAATACTAGAGGTCAGTCTTTCTCTCTCTGTTTTTAAGAATTCATAAATCAAATCCAGCAACACTGTCAAAAGTGCTGCTTCTCATAGCTCACTCCTATCAATTCACAAATAAGAGGGTTCCAATTAGACATGCATGGCAAAAAAGAGTAGTAGCTGTTTCCCCTCCACCTCATTTCTGCAATTTATTTTCTCATAAACAAACCGAACATAAGAAAATGCATGGGTGAATCAACTTACATTATTTGAACAAGGCTAGAATAGCGATACCTTGCAATCGAAAGCCCATGTGGGACAGCTGAGAGGGAGATTTGGAGTTGGAAATGGCAGACTGGGAAAGGAATCGTATCCTTTTCTGCCACTCCTTATGTGCTCCCAAAAAAGTCCCCTCCTAAAGTGGCTTTTCATCTCCCTAAAAGGGCTACTCTTGGGTTACTGTTACACATGTTTGGATTATATCCAATGCTACCAGTCTAGTTGAAGAATGGCACTTGATCTAGTGGGGGCATCCACTAACATTGGATAAGAGGAGGCAATTTTTGCCAGTTTCCCCTTCCTGTTGCAGCCTGTGTCCCCCCCCCCCACCTTCCACATTGTTCTGGAGGATTCCTCAACTCTCTGGAGCTGGGGGGGGGGGGACAGGTGACCGCAATGGGAAGGGGGAATTGGCAAAAGTCACCCCCTCTTCTTTTATGTTAGCTGGTGCCTGTGCTAGAGTAAAAGTTTAATTAAGATCCACCTTTCTGTATAGCATGTAGTTTGGCCTCCATAATAACTGAGTTTTCATCTCTTAAAAAACTCCACTCAGAGCTGCTTTTATGGCAGTCGATTTTACTGAATAATTGAGAACCGAAGCCTTTCTATTTGCACCAAGCCTTCTTGGTCAGGCTGTTCATAGTCTTTTTATATGTCAGTGTGATATTAATCTGGGGCTATGTACTGTAATAAAAGTCCTAAGAAATCACAGTGAACATAATGGTCGCATTGGGGTGGGGTGGGAGAATAAACAAACACACCATCTCTGCAGAGTGGGCTCTCTCTGTGCAATGGGGGGGGCGTGTTCCCGGAATGGGAGGAGAGTCTTCCTCCTACTTATTTTATTGTTGGACAAAAGGCAGGCAGAAAAGGGACATTTTTACCACTCAGCAGCTTGAAGCTGCCTGCGATTTGAATTAGGGTGCAGCCTTGCGCTGTTGTGATTGATGATTCCGAAACTTGCTGTGTCCTGGATGATTGCACCAAATGATAGAGACATTGATCATTCTGATTCACCACTACCTTCAGTGGTGTGGCATCTGCTGTTATCTCTATGTAGGGCAAGCTGCACTCTCTGAATATACACACCACTTTTCTGTGAGTGAGCAGAGGCTCTTCCTTTAACAACAGTTTGGTACTTAGCAATAGAAGATCCAGGCTTTAGCTGACTGGATATGGTGACCCTGAAGCGCAGCCAGCGGAGGGAACTGGATCCAATCAAAAGTGCCCAGCACACACTCTGCAGGCCACTGTGCAGGTGGACAGGGCCCTCAAGGTGCTGGGACTCTGAATGTAGGAGTCAGCACTGAGGAAATGCCTGCCTTTTGCTTATGTAAGGCCCATGGTGCTATACCATATGACATTAGGAAAAGAGAAGATTGTTTTAGCCACAATGTTTATGTGTTTATCCACAACGATAGGATGGATTCCATATACGTACAGAGCCAATATAGACCTGACATGCAGTCATGGGTATCTTTTTTCAGATTTTTTAAAGGCCAAAAGCAGCTTTAGGAAGATGTACATTGGAGCAGAGAAATGGCTGGCCAGAATGAGCTTAATATTTGCCCATCCTTTCTTTTCAAACTCTACCAGCCCACCTCCAGCTGCTGTTCTCCCCTTGTGTCCTTGAGGAGATTGCTAGCATATGTTATTCACCTGACAGATAAGTGTACAGAGCTGTCATTTTCTTCTTCTTTGGCAATCACTCATAGCCAAGTAAGATTGTCTTCCATAAACACGGTTTTAACAATGAGTCCATAGATGACTGTGGAGGCCAATTCTGGATCCACACGCCCTTCCACAGTGGGGACATTGGTTTCCAGGTGGGAGTTGATCACAATGTTGATTTGCCAAGTGTGCCTTCCTCTTAGCACATTTCTCCCTTGCATCCTGAGTTTGAGTGTCTTCAAAGCCCATGACACCTTTGGTAAAGGGTTTTCTCCAACTGGAGCGCTCGCAGGCCAATGTTTCCTAGTTGTCAGTGTTTATACTACATTTTTTAAGATTTGCCTTGAGACAGTCTTTAAACCTCTTTTGTTGACCACCAGCATTACGCTTTCAATTTTTAAGTTCAGAATAGAGTAGCTGTTTTGGAAGACGATTATCAGGCATCTGCACAATATGACCAGTCCAACGAAGTTGATGTTGAAGAATCATTGCTTCAACACTGGTGATCTTTGCTTCTTCCAGTACACTGACATTAGTTTGCCTGTCTTCCCAAGTGATGTGTAAAATTTTTCGGAGACACTGTTGATGGAATCTTTCAAGGAGTTGGAGATGGCATTTATAAGTGGTCCATGTTTCACAAGCATATAGGAAGGTTGTGTAAACAAGCATTTTGGTTTCCCTGCGAATGTCCCGGTCCTCAAACATTCTGCACTTCAATCGGGAGAAAGCCAAACTCACAGAGGTCAGGCGATGCTGGATTTCGGCATCAATGTTGGCCCTTGTGGAAAGATAACTGCCTAGGTAGGAGAAGTGATCAACATTTTCCAACATTCCACCATTGAGTTGGATTTGTGGCGCTGCAGAGGGGTTATTTTGTACTTGTTGGTGCAGCACTTTGGTTTCTTGGATGTTGAGTGATAGGACAAGCTTTTCATAAGCTTCTGCAAAGATATTTAGGATGGTTTGAGGTCATCCTCTGAGTGTGTGCACACTATGTTGTCATCAGCATACTGAAGCTCTATGACAGAAGTTACGGTAACCTTACTCTTCAACATACTGCGGTTGTGCCTTAGTGTGTGATATTTGAGTCAGGAACCATGGTTCAAATCTCACCTCAGCCACGAACTCACAGAGTAGTCTTCGGTGAGCTCTATCTTTCAACTCTCCCCCCCCCCGCACATTTTTAAGATGGAGGTGATAATACCAACAAAATTCACAAGGTTGCTGTAGGAATTACTGGAATGTCAAATGCTTTAAACACTTAAAAAATGTAATACAAAAACTAAATGTTATTTTTATATGGGGCATGTCTTTTTCCTGCTGCACAGGCTTGTATTACATTTTTTTTAAGCCTATAACTCCAGCACCATGAACATCTCACAAATACATAGAAAAAATAAAAAGATTTGTGGGATCGTTTGGAATAGTTGGATAGAACTTTGAGCATTACGTTCCGTGAACAGTCATTAAAGGAAGAGATCTTGGGTCACATTGTACAAACAGCCAGTTCATTTACCCTTGCTGTAGTAACATAAATGTGGTGTCCTTTCAGATGAATCATGATATCTCCTGGTTTATTTTGGCAGCTGCTCAGTTTGGTGATTTGCTGCATACAACAAGCACCAGCCAAAATGCCTTGGATCCAGAGGGTTAGAGTTCATGTGCTTCTGTGACTTTGAACTCTTCCTTTCCATGGTTTCCTTGTTGACAGCTGCACCAGGACAAATATGTTTACATCATAGAAGTGGATGGCAGCTAGCAATTCAGAATTTCCATTTCCTTTTGTATTGTTCTGGAATTTGGCCTCCATAATTCCATGTCCTGAAACTTTGCCTAGTGTGCATGTTTCTCTTTAGGGTCTTCCAGTGCATACTCTTTGTTTTGATTTAGATATGTTGATAGTAAATGCTGACTGCAGGAAGGTTACGTTAATTAAAGTTTGCTTCTGTTTACAGGGAATTTTATTGTGGGATAAATGAATTTTCTTGTGACAGTTCCATTTGTAGCCTTGCAAACTGAAACATGTGGTTGCTTTTTGTAGGGCTCCCTGCCATGTCAAAACACTGCTGCATTGAGGGCTAATATGTAGCTGCTTAAACTGCAGTGTAGTGAACATAGTTGCCGCTTTCTTTTTCTGAAGGCTGAGAAATCCAATCAGCCGTTGACATTCAGGATTCTAAAAAATAAATAATACATTTCCCAAGAACATTTTGCACTGAGAAAGTGGATGAAATAATTCACAAATGCTGAGTCTCCGGAATGGTTTGAGGTATTTTTTTTTTTATTTCACCAAAATGTAGTATATACTTTAAAAGTAATAATGAAAAAGTTAAAGGCATTTCCCTTAATTTGCCTTTCATTCTTCCTTCTATATATATATATGTGGCTCAGTCAGGAGGGCATGAGACTCTTAATCTCAGGTTTGTGGGTTCGAACCCCACGTTGGGCAAAAGATTCCTGCATTGCAGGGGGCTGGACTAGATGACTCTCATGGTCCTTACAAACCTATAATACTAGTCTTATAACCATGTTTAATTCTGGACATCTACTTGTTTCCCTAACTTTATTCATTGAAAAGTTCTCTTCAGATTCAGTAATATTTTAAAAAGAAAAGACAGAACTCTGTTTAAAAAGAAAAGAAAGAACTCTGTTTTGCTGTTAATTCTATTTCCTCACAGCATTTACACTAATAGGATGCCTAAAATTATTACCCAAAGTGAGAAGATTGAAATATTTAAGTGTTTGGCCAGGGCACAGATTGCATTATTTTAGGACAACTTCATGCTTTACATTTTTAAGTTGTATGCTAGTGATATTTTAAGTGTATACCTAAAATTTTAAAGTGACAGTGACATACAGGTGCTGAAATGCACATGTACATATACAGTACATATGTGTACATTCATATACATGATGGATGTATGTATATACATATATTGGAGAGCTGGGATTGGCAATGGCCTCTGTTGAGTGTACACTCTTATGAGCAGCTAAAATTGGCTGCTGTGGAATTGCAATAGGGTTCCTTTTCCCCTAGCCTAAGGACTCAGATCAGATCACAGATACGTCCTTAAGCTGACATTGGATATTGTCAGATAAGTCCCTAAGTGTTATGGCTGAGCAAGGATCTGATTCTGGGACTGTTGCTTGTAAAATAGCCCTACATAGAGTGCCTTCTTATGACCTGCTGTAAAATACTTCCTGGAGTCTTTTGAACTACTGGCTGAATTGCATTAAACTGTTCTGTGAAAGAAGCTCTAGCAACTGGAGATCTAACCCCTCCTCAATTGCCTGTGCTGCTACTGCTGCCACCTGTTCAAACTCCTGAGAGAAAGCAGCCCAGATAGTCTTGTAGACTGCAAAGAGAAAAATCTAGTGATGAATTCCCATGCTGCCTATCAGGAGAAAGTAAATCTGATAACCTCCAGTGGATCTTTGCACATCATGCAGGTTCTCTTGGCCTAGCTTGTCCCAGTGGCTAATTGTGGGTTTCCAACAAAATGTATTGCAAGTTGTTGTTTGATTCCCATTGGTTTAATAGAAGACTTATTCATACTTATGTCACTGTTGAACTAGGGATTATCATGACTCTTTCTTGCTCTTTGGCCTCCAGTTGCTCATGTTTTCATTGGCACTCTGATTTACAGGCAGGAAATAATACAAAAGTGATTGTGCTGAATATTTGAGCACAAACAGGTTTCAAAGCACATGGTTTTGGCACATGGCTTTATCTTCAGAATTACTCTCTGTTTTATTTCCTTTGCAGTTGGTAGCCTTCATCCTAGCAGCTTTTGTACAGCATCCTGCTTCCTTCCTCTCTTGAAAGTTGGAGTGCTGGCACTCCTGGCTTTGTGTTTGTCACACTTGAGTCTTTTAAATAAGAAGTTCTATTCACTTTTGAGATAAGCCCTACATCGCCACCACCTCTCCTCCTCTTCCTCCCCTCCTCCCCAAGCCAGATGGGGTCCACAGTATGGTCGCCATGTCCCCAGATACCCCCTTCACATCCACTAGAGTATCTTGTCCCCAATTTTTAAATGTATTGTTTAAAAATGAGGTTTGGGGGTTGTTACTTGTTTTGATTTCTTGGTTGCAAGGGGAGTTGCCTCTCCTCTTCCACGTGCTCAACTGGGGATTGTCACACACACCCCGAACCAATGGGGGGGCATGGGGGAAGAGAGTGGTGAAGCCCCGTTGTGCAAACAGAAGTCCGTTCACAGATATTCTGCTGATGGGGCTAATTAGGTGAATCCTGCCCTTAATTACATATAATTATAGAATTTCCATTAATTATAAATTTGTTGTAACAGATTGCATGACTATACATTTATTTTAACTATTTGTCTATCATTTAATTACAGTAATCTCTAAACAGTGTACAGGAGACCTAATACAATGAAACTAAAAATGAAGTAAAACTAAAAATCAGAATTCACTTTAAAAGCCTGCTGAAATAAAAGTCTTCAGTAAGCACTGGAAGGTCAACAGGAGAGAGTTCCACAAAATACTGCAATACTGAACATATAACTCCTGGTGGATATGAGCTGAGCATCTGAGCCATGGCAGGCCACAAACAGTGGCTCAGCTGAAGACCTCAGTGATCAAGTAGAGATCTAAGGGATTAGGAAGTCCTGAGGTCTCCTAGACCCAAATTATAAAAGGGCATTGCAAATTAATAGAAGAACATTTAACTTGACCCAGAAATGTGTGGGCAGGGTAGTGCAAGCTTTTGAGCACCAGAGTTATGTGCTGGCAATAGCCTGTCCCCACCAACAGTCTAGCCTCAGTGTTTTGAACCAGCTGAAAACTCTGGACCAATAGCAGCCCCACATATATGTAAAGCATCTCACCAGTCCTAAAAGAGAAGGAAGAAGCCCCTGCACATATGGAGCTCTGTTTGTGTACACTAGGTGTTTAGTGACTGCCAAATTGACTCTCTGATCCCTCTTAACTAACTCCTTGTTCCTAACAGCAACTGAAGCTGGTTTTGGTGCTGATATTGGGATGGAGAAATTCTTCAACATCAAATGCAGAGCTTCTGGCCTGGTTCCCAGTGTGGTTGTGCTTGTTGCTACAGTGCGGGCTTTGAAGATGCATGGAGGTGGGCCAAATGTAAGTTTCTGTACCTATCTCATAAAACAAATGATAAATCTTTAGAACTCCCTAAGCCTGAGAAAGCCCCTTATCATTTGAAATATGTATAAACGCTTTAATTTCAGAATTGCTGGAATAGTTCGCAATGTAAGCTAATTTAACAAAGACTCTCATTTCACTGTCTTTCATCATGTAGATGTGGCATTATCTGTGTTGCTTGTTGGATTAAGATGTATTAAAGAGGATAGCTCTAAAAAGGACTAAAAATTTAGCAAGGAGAATTAGGTCTGTTTGGAATTTTTCTTCTCCCCCCACTCTCTCTCTCTCTTTTTTACACGCAAGTACTGGCCTTTGAAATGCCATGGCTAAACTCACAGGGTTACATCCAGATTTACAGCACAATCCTAACCATGCCTACTAAGAAATAGGTCCTGGACTTCCGAGTTGGCGCCATCGGTAATGGCGGACTCCCTCTGAGTTTCTGAGGGACCAGCTCCGCGGGATCGGGTCTGACCGCTGCGGCGAAGCGGGGGCCCTTTAAAAATCACAGGCGGGTGAAGCCTGTGAACGTGGGGACTCGGCGGGCACCTTTTGCGCCCCCCCCCCCAAATTGCGAAGGGACCCTTTTAAGGGCTCCGGAGCGAGACAGGGTGAAAGGCGCGGTGCTGAGAGTCGACTGCTTCTTCCGCGGAGTGAAGCCGCATAGCCGTTATCGGAGAGCGCTGACTTTTTCCTGGGACAATTTGACTTTGAAAGCAACTACCCGTGAGTAGGATTAAATTGGATTTAAAGGGGAAAACAAGTCAATTCGGCACCGAAGCGGGAAGGTATAAACAGGAAGTCTGCCTTCCTTTCTTGTAAACAGATCAAAGCAAAGACACTGTAAGCGGAAACTCTGAAAGACGTTTGAAAAAGACTTAAATCTCAACATCAGGAAAGCGATCTCCCCTCCGGTTTACAGGAGAGGAGGGGGGAAAGGTTTAAACTGTATTTATCTGCAAAAAAAGGGGGAAAGGAAGCTAAAATTCACCGCCTAAACCCTGGGAACGGACTGCCCTGAGATAAGGAATGCCGCTCTGTGGAAAGCCTATTGGTAAGCAGAGGACTTTTGACAGCTAACTCTGCAAAAGAGATACAGTGTTTCTGAACTTCTCCTGGCTTTAAAGTAACTGATTAAGTGCAACTGAAACTGTTGTTTTTTTGTGAACTGGGGGACCTATAAGGATTATTTTCCTTTTTTAAAGTTGCAAGCTTTGGCTGTTACTGTGTCCCCCTAGAGGAGGCTTGACATTGCTACAATAACAACTGGGCTAGAGGAATTTTCCATTTCAAAATAAATTCCAGCCGTGGGATCGACCTTGGACTCTCATGAGAGTGTTATGGCAGATGGAAGAGGAAAGTTAGAGTTGACGCAGGAAAAAACTACTAGGTCTGGCAGACCCTATCGGACAGATACTGCGTTGCAGCGAAGGGCTTCAACATCTGGTCCTTCTGGACCATCTGGAATACCAGGGGCTGCACCTCCACAAGTTAAACCAAAAGTTATGTCGTCCGAAGACGTTTTGGCTCAGGCACTTGGAAAAATTAATGAATCTTTGGAAAATTTAGCTAAACAAGTAGCTGAAACAAATAAACAAGTAGCCGAAGCATCAGTTAAAATTGACCAGAATACTACAAGCATTAATAACTTGGGACAGAAGGTGAATACCAACACAGAGTCTATTGAAAAATTACTACAGGAATCTGCTTCGACCCGAAAGACAGCTGAAGAAGCAAAAGATATAGCAACTGCTACTCAAGAGAAGATACCACCGATATATAGGCAACTTGAGGACCACGGTCTGACGTTGTCTATGATTGAATTGAAGGAGAAACAAAGAAATTTAAGAATCAGGGCTGTACCAGAACGTGAGAAAGATAATTTGGCTGATTTTCTTACGCAGGAATTTGCAGATTTCTGGCAACAGGATTTGGGGAAGGAAGAATTTAAGATAGTGAGTGCATTTAGACTTGGAAGAGGAGGAAGGAGGAACAAGGTGAGAGACTGCTTGATTACCCTTCGAACAAAAGAGGAGAGAGACAAAATCTTGAATCTGCATTACCAAAAGACTTTAGAAATTTACGACTCAAGTGTGGAGATATTCAAGGACATTCCAAAACACCTTTTGGACTTAAGGCTCAACTACGGAGATCTGGTTGCCCTGTTGAGAAGAAATAGAATCATCTTTAGGTGGGAATTCCTCAAGGCCTGTCCTTTAAATATAAAGGAAGAAAGATAAAAATAAGATCAGTCAATGACAAAGATAGGTTTCTGAAGGATCACGGAGAAGATCTACAGAAAGAAGTGGAATCTGGAGA